AACAGTTTCATTTTTAAAACTGATATGTAGTGAGCGTCCGTCCTCAAATCGGGCATGGTGAGAGGCGCTCTCATGATGGAGTGACCGGGTGAGTTATCATCATTTATACCACCATATAAATGAGGGATCGGAAGCACAGAGACGCTTTGCCGGAGAGCTACATCCCTGGCACTTTTAGCTTTTATTTTAAGACAGAATTCACTAAGTTGCCCAGACTGGGCTCAAAAGCACAGAGATACTTTTGCAACCTTGCCTAAGGTTGCACAGCTGTCAAGTGGGGAAGTCAATATTCGAAGCCAGGTTTATCTGATTCAGAGCCTACACTCTTAACCATTTTGCAGTCAGTTGGTTTACTGATGTGGGGAGACCTTCATGATGTACTGTTGAATTAGGTTCAAATGATCCCATTACTGAGAGAAGTATATGTCAATCAGAAAATTATTTTTAAAAATCACCTCATGTATTTTCTGTTCTCAGCAATTCTTCCTCCCCACTTCCATGAGCTTCTACAGCCTGTGGCGAGGACTCCAACCCAAGCTGTGTGAGTGGACCACCCTGGAGTTGGGCCCTTGTGCCCAGTCCAGCCTTCGGTCACCTCGGAAGAGACTCCAGAACCCCCAGCAGAACCATTTCCAAACTCCTGACCCAGAGAAACTGTGTGAGATGAGAAGTGTTTATTGTTTTAAATCCATGAGCCTTGGGCAGTTTATTACACAGCACTAAACAGCAGATATGGACTTTGGCCATGTCCCGATGATTGGCTCCCTTCAAGGACGCCACACTTCCTGTTTCTTTGACCTCCTCTTATGGCCATCAAATTACGATCTGAGTGATGGATTAGTCCACTTGATGGTGTTAGGGCACTAACGATCCATTCACTTCCCAAAAAGCCACCTGCTGGCAACAGAGTCTTAAAATATGAGTTTTGGGGACATTTCAGATCCAAACCAGGACACCTAGTAATGTCCCAGAGCCTCAGAGTCTGTTAGTAGAAACTCAGTGGGCTTCAAGGGGGCTTCAAGGGGAGGAGCTTAAAAAATAATGAAGAGATGTTACTGGGGTTATAGTAAGCTTGTTATGCAGCAGCAGAAAGTTTCCTAACATGCTTCCTCCAGTAATGGGGAAAGCTGGAAATGTACCTAGTAAAGAGCATGATTTAGCCAAAGAGATTTTCAGGTGGAACACTTGAAGGTGTCGCCTGGTTACTTCTCACTTCTTATAGCAAAATGTGAGTGGGGAGAGCTCAGCTAAAAGCAGAACTGCTGCATGAAAGGACTTGGTGTGATGGGTGAGCAAACTCCCTGCCCCTCCAGATGGCAAATGAGATTTAAGGAATAGCTACCAGGGAAGATCAAATCAAAAACACACTCAGGAAAATGTGGTCTAAAGATGAAGTAAAGGGTGTGTCAAGTCCTCTGTTAGGTCATGGAAAGACACAGGGTCCCACTGGACTATTCAGTCAAAGCCTGGCACTTTGGGCAGCAGTAGTAGTGGAAGCCCCAAGTACAGGTCTTATTATGTGTTGTGTTGCTGTAACAACATACCCAAGACTGGGTAACTTATGAAGAGGTTTATCTGGCTCACCATTCTGGTGGCTGGAGGTCCCAATAGCATGGTGCTGGTGTCCTGGCAGGGCCCCCCTTGAGGCATCACTCCATGGTGGAGAAATGGAAAGGGACCCAGCTACATGAAGAAGGGGACTGTGTGAGCAAGGAGACAAGAAGGACTGGGCAGGGGAGGCTTGCTCTTTCACAACCCCCTCTCCCAGGAGCTAATCCATTCCAAAGGATTAACACGAATCCCTTCACAGGTGGAACCTCTATGCAGTACTTAACCACCTTCCACTAGGCTCCACCTCTTAAAGGACCAACTTGCAGTTCATGCACCTTTGGGGACACACTCAAACCCTGTCCCAACTGTAGCAGTAGAAATGGCTTATGTTAAAGAAGTCTGTGGGCATGGTGGATGGGATAAACACCAGTAAAAAAAAAAAAAAAAAAAAAAGGCAGGGTGACTTAGGGGCAGAACTAAGAGCCCTGGGAAGGTGATTTCTGGGCAAGCATAGGACTGAATCCAACCAAAGACTCCTGACACACTTCTGGGTGGATTTCAGAACTGCTATGGACCAGTGACCTCATACTTCCTGTTTTTGTTCTTTATCAACAAGAAGTGGGGCCATAGCAGGCATCCTGTGTCTGTCCCACCCCTGCATGTGAGGCATGTGAGGGACAGGTGACCAGTCTCTTTAGTGCACACACTAAAGAGAGAGGTAGGTCACAACTTTCTTGAGGAGCTGACCTTAAGGAACTCCACCCAGTTAGCCCTATCTGTACCTCAACCAAATTTAGATGACAAAGTTATAGCTGGTGCTGGAGTGGGATGGGATTTGGGGAGCCTCAGGGGGAGTGAGGGCATCTTAAAGGTGAGAGGGAGGTGAATCCTGGAGGACCAGAGGGCAGACAGTGGTGGACAGCTTCCAAGACAATCACTAGTAATTCCTGCCTCCTGGTACTCAGACTCCTGCCAGAGTCCCCTTTCCACACAGGACAGAGCTGACCTGTGAAACCAGTAGCTGTTGCAGAAATGACAGAGTGACTTCTGAGGCTTGTTCATGAGAAAGGCTGCAAGTTCCACATTGCTCTAGGGAGCCTGCTGCCCTTCCAGGGGGCATCTAGCAGCTTCATGGAGAGGTCTGAGGGAAGAACCAAGGCTCCTGCCAACTGCCATTGGGCGAGTGTGCCATCTTGAAAGCAGATTCTCTAGCTCTGGTCCAGCCTTCAGATGACCACAGCCCCAGCTGGTATCTTGACTGCAACCTCAGAGACACCCTGAGCCATGGCCACCTGGCTAGGTGATCCCCAAATTCCTGATCACAGAAACTGTACAATACACTGGTTTTCATTTATTGTTTGTTTTAGGTGCTAGGTTTTAGGATAATGTATTATGAAACAACTGATAACTAATACACATTGTATGTTAATTTTATACCAAAAGGACAAAAACCGTTGAATTGTAGCAGACATCCCTGCCCAGTACTAGCAGGCTATAAGTGGCACATGCTTCTTGCTTTCCATAATTTGGGTATATTGTTTTATATCAGGAGTCAGACCAAAGCTCTATATGACTCAAATGGGCACGTCAGATGGTGGACTGGGTGAGTATAGCCCCTCCCCCAATGGCTGCCATGGAAACCTAGGCCCTGGTCTGTGAAGTAGCAGGGCTCTGCTGAGTTATGTGCAGCTGAGGCCAGCGTGACCTCAGTTGAAATCCTTTCTCCTGAATCATGGCTTCTCACTGACCCTATTGGTTGTTTGCTAATTGCATCCAGTCCCAGTACCTGTTTGTTCTATCCAAGCAAGATAAGCAGTGCTTACTCCCTAATAACCCTGCCTGGTGCCATCTTGCCAGGTGTTCGGCAGTATTTCACTAGATGCCTTCAAAGCACACCCGGCTCCCTATTCCTTCCCATGATTGTATTCAATAAATACTGGATGCACTTGGGGGCTTTTGTCTTTGCTGCCCAGAGCAGCACTGATCAACCCCAAGCCCCAGCTTTTCCTCTAAGCCTCATTTCCTGTCTTTATTCTTTAATCAGCTTTGTGTTATTGTGGCTCACAGGAGACCAAGGCCCACTGCAGAGGTCTCTGGTAACGTCCCCTTTCTCATTCCCTATATTTAGCACCCAATATGGGGCTTGAACCCATGACCCTAGGATTAAGAGTCCCATGCTCTACCAAACTGTACAATATACTAGTTGCTATTTATTGTTTTAGGTGCTAGGTTTTAGGATAATGCATTATGAAACAATTGATATCTAATACATATTGTATGTTAATTTTACATCAAAAGGACAAAAACTGTTGAACTCTAGTTAATGGTATACGTGCCAAAATGTTTGGGAGAAGACTACAGATGTGTGCAATTTGGTATGAAGTGCATTAAAAAGTAAGATGGGATAATGAATAAATAGAAGGATGGGACAACAGGTAGATATAAAATGTGTATACTGGTACCAAAAAAAATGTGCACAGAAAAATGTTAATAGTAGAATCAGATGGGAGGGTCTCTGTAAAATTCTTTTTTTGCCGCATGTTTCAAAATTTTATATCAAAATGTTGGGGAGGAGTGGCTGAGTACTTTCTTAACTTGGGTTCTTACACTTGATCTTAGCCAAAAGGCCGAGAAGCGATTTAACTTGGGTTCTTAACACAGGGTTCATTTCATGATTAAGATGATGTAAACTCTGAGGATGCATCTCACTTACTCTTTTTTTTGGCAGTTCTAGGCATTAAATCTAGGACCTAACATGTTGGGCAAGCACTCTAACACTAAGCGATGGCCCCAACCCTCACTTACTCATTGTTCTGAATATTCTTGCAGTGATAATTATTTTAGTGATGGAAGAAGGTAACTAGGTGAAGGGTCTTAAGCAAGACCAGGAAGGACATGGAGGCACAGAGATACCTGGAGACTTTCAGGGGTCTGGGTCTGGACAGACAGGACAGAGAACAGGACTTGGCCCTAGAGGTCATGGAGGATGCCCAGAAGTCATGCCCAAGGCCTGAGCAACTGGCCACTCTGCCACTGAGGCTGTTCCAGCCAAAGCAGTGACAGACAGAAAGTCCATCCCCCAAAGCCAGAAGGCAAAGAGGATTGTGAGTGGCAATATTTCTGCACATCCACATCAAATGCATATGTGTAGATACTGCTGCCCATCCGTGCACACGTGCACACACTCAGGCACACACACTCAGCAAAGAGTGCGGCTCAGCACGTGGGCAGGCGCTCAGCAAAGGTGCACACACAAGGTGGCACGAAAATCCAGGGATAAGGATAATATGCAGACTCTTTTCTGTTTCCTTATTTCCAGTTTATCCTGATTTTTCTTTTTACAATTGACCATGTTCTATTTTTAGAATCAGAAAAATGAACAAAAACCAAGACTCGTCCTCGTGCCTCTAAACCCACCCTGATGCCCCCAGGGAAGCCCTGGTACATACCTTGCTTGATGATGGGGGACCTGTGGTCCATGATGAAGGAGAACATCTTTCCCCTGGCACTCATGGGCCCCTGACGCGAGGCAGGTGGGACCACCATGGGCCTGGGGAACCCCTGGGACCAGCTCCGCTGCATGGGTGCTGGCCAGACGCCCTGGTGGAAAGGGAAATGTGGAGGCGAGGATGACTTGTTCGGTTCCTGGGTGGCCTGAGAGGGTTGTGGCCTTGGCCAAGGTGCTGGGCCCCTCACCCATGGGCACGAGACCTGCAGAGGCAGACAGGAGGTCAGGGGAGGTTTGCTTCTCTCAGGGACCGGGGGCTTCCCTTCCACCTTGCTTGCCTCTGTCCTCACAGAATCTAGAATGGACACCTGGCACATACAGAGTAGGTCCCCAATAGTGGCTGACAGCAAGGGACAGGTCCTTGAGACTCACACCCAGCTCTCTGAGACCCCACAGGCTGTTCTCTTTCCACCCACAGTTCGGTTCTCTCCTCTGTCCCCAAAACCGAGACTGGGGTCGCAGGGGCTCTGACCGTCTCATCAGCCTTCATCTCAACATCGGCACACCGGGTCCCGCAGGTGCTCGCTCAGTGTCTGTTTTGCACCCATGACCTTGGGGAAGATGTGAGTGTGTGGGATCTGTCTACAGAAGGAGAGGCAAGTGCAGGGCGGTGCCTACTCCTGGCTTGGCCTCCACTTTAGGCTCTCGTGAGGTTTCTCCCTCATGCCTTCTGCCTAAATGATGACCCATGGAGTGCTGCTTACCACATGGGGCTCATTCAAGTCCTTCCTTGTCATTAATGAGGTTGGCAGGTGAGGGGTCCACCCGGCTCAGGTAGGGCTGCAGATGACATGGGATCCAGAGCTGAAGGCCTCTTCTCTCTCCATCTCTCTCACTCTTCCCTCCCTCCCTCCTTTCCTTCCTCTCTCATGTTTTCTCTCCCTCTTGCTCTTGATCTCTCTATCTCTGCCTCTCTCTCCTCCTCCTCTTCTCCCTCCTAATTTGCTTGAGAGAAGCTAAGCTCAAAGCTTTGCCTTCTTCATGGGGCTACATGTTTTCCCTAAGCTCCGTTTCACCTTCTGACTTGAGAGAACTTGAGAGAACATGAGCTCACAGTCACATAATGAGCAACAGACAGACGCTTCCAAGCTGCGAGTGCAGGGAGACAGCACTTCCCAGGCCCCTCGCTGGGCTTCGCCCAATAAAAGGCACCCCACTCACTCAGGAGCCCGGCCCAAGGCTGAAACAGGTCCCCGGAAGACTCCTGGAGTTGGGAAATTCAGGCACCAAACTCCAGTCACTGAGGGATGCTGGCCCTGCATTCACAGACAGTGGCCCACTTTAAGGCTGTTTCACGAGTGGGACCTGGCAGTGTTCAGCACACTGTCACCCTGCACACAGTTTCGAATTTCTCACTGCGTCAACAACTGACCTCTCTGCCTTCAGGTGTCCGGTTCCTGGGTGTGCTGCCTACTCCACCCATCCTGTCCCTTCCTGTCCTCCAGAGTTGGCTCGCCTGTCTTTCCTGTGAGCTGTCCCCACTGGTTTCATAGATACTTCGGGATGAATGGACGGAAGGTGATGGGGTAAATTCAGATGTGTTCTACCCCAGCCTTCAAAACACAAATCTAGAAATTTCTAGATCAGCTGTGGTGGAGAAATCTACTCTTCTGCTGGGATGTTGTGTGTGGGAGGAATGTGTTTCAGGGGTGAATGTGCCTCACAGCCAACAAACTGCAAGGGTGGTAAGGAGTGATCACACCTCCAGACTCCAGGGCTCCATTTGCTACCAGACAGGCAGATTCTGGGCAACCTCCCTCCTTCTCTCTCTCAGCCCACTGTTGTGGGTGGGGTTTAGCAGTCAGTCAATTTCATGCCCTGGTCATGGGGATTGGTTGAGGGATGCAGCCTGTGGTCCAACCAGAGCCAAGCAGTCCGAGGGAGTCCAGGCTGGACACCAGGAGCCCCAGCCATGCTGAGCTCCTTGGACCTGAGAAGGAATCAGCCAGAGGAGAAAGAGGGAAGCTGGCTTTCTTTTTTAATTGTAAAAGACATGTGACATAAAATTTTAAATATTTTTTCAGTGTACAGTTCAGTAGTGTCAATACATTCAAATTGCTGTGAAATATATTGTCAGAACCCTTTTATCTTGCAAAAATGAAACTCTGTTCTCCTTTAACTCCCTCTGCCTCCCCTAAAGCCCTGGTTTTGCCATTTGGTTAATTTTTTGTTTGGTTGGATTTTTTTTTTTTGGTTCAGATGGAAATCATGAATTGGCAAGGTCACTCATCAACAGCCTTGATGCCATCAGTCAGTGCTGGATGCCAACAGTTGACACGGCCAGCTGCTGGTTACTGCTGCTGCTGGGCACTGTAGATCAAGTCTGCCAGGTGCTGGTCTCTGTAGCTGACTGTCACTGGCTGCTGTCTCTGAAGTGCTTCAGAACTAACTGCCTTTAGTGTCTATTGCTCTTTCTTTTAAAGGGACCACTCTGTTCAAATTACTCAGGTTTAGAATCCTGGGTAGATTCCCAAGACCTTCCATGCCCACATTACCTGAGAATAAATCATGAGCAGATTTACAGGTCCACTGGAGCAAGTCTTTATTTTAACAGACCTGTGCAACAGCACCCCGGGGGTGGGGCAGTCAGTACACCACACAGAGCCCTCCTAGACTAACCCAACATGTGGGAGGGAGTGCTGCTTATATAGCAGCTTCAGGCATGTGATGGGTCCACTGTAGGTCTATGATTGGTTCAAAGTTGGGTCTGCTGCTTGGTCCAAGTGCAGATCTGTGATTGGTTCAAGAGGGTGTGGGGCTTCAAGACAGTGGCAGCTGACTTGGCGATTCAGTGAGGGGGTGGGGCAATATGAGCTTTTGATTGACAGTGGCTGCATCTTCAAGACAAAATGGCCAGGCTGAAATGTGACTCTTTAGGAGGGCAAGATGTGTTCACTGGGGCTTGGGGCAGTTGGGATATTAATAATGGGCCCAGATCCCTCCCTCACCTGGTCTTAGCCACGTTAGGGCAGTTCCTCTACTGCTTCTTCTGTGTCCAGAGTGGAGGGTGTGGGAGGGACACCGTGGCTGACAGCTGAGCTGTACTCCTGTGGGATCTGTCTGGAGGTAGCCACTAAATACCAAGGGTGGTCATCAAGGCAAGCTGTTCTTGGCTTTCTGTTCTTGGTCTCTGTGAATCGGACTTCTCTTGGTAGCTCATATTAGAAGAACCAGTCAGCATTTGTCTTGTGACAGGCTCATTTCTCTTAACATATTCTCAAGGGTCATCCATGATGAAGCACGTGTCCGCATCTCTCTCTTATACTTTTACAATGGGGCCCTAATTCACATGTGTGGCTTCTGGGTGGCTCTGAACCACTGTTGGTACATGCATCACTGTCTCCTCCAAGGTGTGGGTCAAGCCCATCAGGTGGTACATGCTGCCTGATGGGACAGTCACGCATGTACCACTGGTGGTTCAAGCCAGCGGAACATGGTGACTAGACCATGTTTCATCTATGCATTCATCTGTTGAACACCCAAGTTCATGCCACTCTTGACTCCTGGGAAGAGAGGTGTCTCCCAGAGGAACTGGTGTGAGCCCTGGCCAGGTCTGACTCTCGGAGGTTGGCTAGAGCTGGTCTTGAGTACAGCATGAAAAGTTCAATGGCAGGATGTCTGAGGGGGTGGGGGCATGATATAGAAAAGCAGAAAAGACTGCAGTTGGCTCTTTGGGTTCAAAAATAAAGGTCTCTGTCAGACCCCGTCAAGGCAGAAGAGAAAAAACTTCCCAGGGAACTCCATTACACATCCTGCAAGGCACAAAAGATAACAGGAAGCCAAGGCCCTGGATCGGGATAAGCAGCCTGCCCTTCGCAGGAACACCTGCAGGGCCAGATACCTCTGTACACCACCAGACTTCCTCTGCCCCAGAACAAAAATTTTCCACTCCTCTCGACAGTACCCTCTCCCCTATTTAAACTCCCCCATAAGATCTGTCCTCACCCAAGCCCTCAGGTCAATGGTCTTGTTGCCCTTGATTTGCCTGCACCCAGGCTGGAAATAAAACCTCACTTGCTGCTTCATTTTTGGCTGCTCTGGTGGTCTCAGTTGTGCCTCGGTTTACACTATCAGTCTCCACCAATGCTTGTTGATTTAGGGTGGCTTTAGTTGTAAGGTTAAAGTTCAAGTTTTTCTCCTCAGCAGCCCTGATCTATCACAAAAGAGTAAGTTCTTCTCAGAAATCATTGGTGGTAATGACAAGGAGAACGGCAGGCAGAAAAATACAAGGGAAAAAGATACTGCTTGAGAGGTGACCTCTGGCTGTGCTCGCATTAGAAGGTATGCAGAGCCTGGTCACAGTCAAGGCCACTCACCAAGTCTGGTTTGGAGAATCTGAGTTTAAAAATACGTGCCGATGCATTTTTTCTCCTTTCCCTCCCTCCCCGCCATCTCTGCTTTGTTTTTGAGCAGCATGTATCAGTACCAAGTTCTTCCACACAGTCTTCCACACAGGAGATGTCTGGACCACACTCGCCACTGAACTTCTGAATAGCAGTCAATGATCCACTCAAGAAATCACAATCCACTTCTTCCAGATTATCGGCTCTTTGTTATACCCCAACATTTGCTTCCTACCCCCGACCACAGTGCAGGGTGTGAGGGTCACCCTTGAATACCAAGGCAATTTGCACACATTGCCCTGTGGGGCCCAGGCCTTCTGCAGGAAGGCCTGGAGGTACACACGTAGCGGGGAAGGGGACCTGCCCTAGCCGAGTATCATGTTTAACATTGCTGCTACAGCTTCGAATCACCACGTAGAGAAGGCACTTGCAAGTGTGCTGGGGACTGTGCCGTGTCCTTAACACATGTGTTCTTGTCTAATTATCCTGATCCTGAATGATCCTGAAGCTGGGGAGGCACGTGTACCCCCACTGTGTGGGGTAACATACTGAAGCTCAGCATGGTCAGGTGACTCCCCAAGGGCAGCTGAGGAGCAGCGACATGGACTCCAGAACCTGTGCTCCTGGAACATTTGGATTATTTTCATCAGCTTGCCATGCTTGCAAAAGGATCTCAGATGATTGCTTAATGAAGAATAGGAGATTTTCCCAGGTAAAAAATTGAAAATAGGAAGTCAGCGGTGTGAAAAGCACACCATGTTACCTGGGCAGCTCGTGAACAGAGTTTTCTAGGAGCACCTATGCAGTGTCCCTCACACTACCCATGAGATGCCCCTGAAGCAGCTCAGGGGACCTCTGTC